CACATTTAAATTAAAACATTCTGAAAATGTGATAGCTCCTTATGTTCTACTAAATACGATCAAAGCATTCACTTTTCCTAGAAGCCAAAAATAAAAGGTTATTTTTTTCAGAGTGTTTGTCACTCCATCTTCAGATCATTGTTACTTTTAAAGAATGTTCAAATCCCAGTGTTTTAGGACAGTTATACCATACAATAGTATATTGCTCAAATATGAGATAAATAATAAATTTTATTGTTTGTTAAAGCATAATTGGGCTTTCAGACAAAATTTAAGCACAAGCACAAAGACAAAGATGTTAATAGAAGGAATGAAAACATTAGAATTTTTATTTTCTAGATTCTTGAAAAAGTGAATGCTTTGATGAAGTGTTTAGTGCATTTGAATCCTGAAAATAAAAAATTTAGTTTTACTCTATCTTAATTAAAAGAAAAGAATCAAAAACTATATAAAAAACACATTTATAATAGTTAATGATATAATAATTTCAAATAACAAACAGCTCATGTATATCAGATCTTTGTATTCAGCTGGTAGAGCCAGCATTTTCTATACGGTAGGTCTGATGTAAACACACTATTTTCTCTTGAAATTATTACATCATTAAAGAAATGTTTTTACATAATTTTTCTAATTCTTTTGACATCATAACCTTGTTTAATAACAAGAAACTTTGTTTTGTGTGATTAAAATAGCTCAATTTATAATAGCAAATATATAAACAAACCAATAATTTAAAATAAATATGTCTGTCTACTTTAATTCTACATTAAAAACACCTTTCAGATACAGAATTTTTTTCTTCTTAAACTTACTATATCAAACTTTTAAGGTTATTTTAAGCAGATTTAATCAAAACATTCTAAACTTTATAACAATTGTTAAAAATGAATGTGTAATAAATAAGTACTAATAAGATAATTTTGCCAAATAACTATCCATTTATGAAGAAAGCACGGGATAATGGGTTTACTGTTATAACATTTATAAGAACTCTGAGAAAAATACTTCACATCACAATAAATAAAATTTCTTTTTATCAAAACTAATTATTCTCCATATAATTTGTTTCTTATTATTATTATCATATATATCATTAAAACAAAACTAAGAAATATGAAGATTTTTAGTTGCAAATTTATATATATAGCATATAAGCAAGGAAGCATAAATCTCACCAGGAAAATTTTCCAAATATCCTAAATATGTTTGCAATTCATATAATTTTTTAGTATCATTAAATTCAACTGTTACTCATTTTATTGATATTTTCTTACTCATTTTACAGTCAACTTTAAATCTGACCAAAAAATTTAATTACTTTTAATTAACATTATTAATCATATGATTGACATATCAGCTTTATTAAACCAATAATCTATAATTAATTAGCTGTATGAGCTAAACTGTATTATATTCAGAAAATATTAGGTCTACTGGAAAGTTCTGTCTGTTTTTAGAATAAAACAAAATAATAAATTTTTCATACCTTGAATAAACTTTATTGAATAATATAATTTCCATCATTATTTATGACTTCTTGCCAGCACGATGGCAATTTGTATATCCCATTTTTAAAAAATGCCTTATCCCTAGAGGTGAAAAATTGAACCAGTGCTTATCTAATATCTTCTTCGTTTTTGAATTTTTTGCCCTGCAAAAAATTTTGTAAGGACAGAAACAAGTGATAATCAGAAAGTGCTAGATCTGGGGAGTATGGTGAATGTGACAGAATTTCCCAGCCTAGCTCTGCGAGTTTCTGACAAGTCCCCAAAGCAGTATGTGGCCCGGCATTATCATGAAGCAGTATGATGTCCTTCCTATTGAACATCACCGGCCTGTTTTCTTGAAGTGCTGTTTTTAAATTATCCAATTGCTGACAGTATCTCTCCGAATTTAGCTTTTCGTTCAGTTTTAACAGCTCAAAATGTATTAGTCCTCGAATGTCCCACTATATACACAACATTCTCTTATTCAGGCTCAACTTTGGTTTAGAGGTGGAGGGGCAAGTTTTCTGAATTCACAATATGCCCTTTTCCTTACGATGTTTTCATAGGTAATCCAGTTTTCATCCCGTTATCATCCAGTCCAAGAAGAATTTGATTTTGTTCCATGCAAGCAGAGATGTGCACATGATGACTCAATCATTCAGATTCTTCTCACTTAACTCATGTGGCACCCATCTTGAATATTTCCACACCAATCCTAGTTTCCGAATATGATTTGAAATGGTTTGTTGAGCTGAGTCAAGCTTTTCCGCAATCTCTGATGTTGTCAAAAAGGATTTTGCTCTAACATGATCTTGACAAGTATCATTGTCGATCAAAGATGGTTGCCCAGAGTATGGCTTATCAGAAAGATCAAAATCACCTATTTGAAATTTTTCAAATTATCTTCTGCACGTTCTATCAAACTGTACCTTCACCAAACACGTTCAATAAATTTCTACATGCTTCTGCAGCATTTCTTCCTTGTTGGGATTCATACAAAATACAGTGGCGTAAATGAACTTTATCAGTAGCCATGTGTATACGATCGCATCTCACTTAATACTAACATGAATCATCTTCATTTTAGTTCATTTTCTAGTTCAGTATGTATACATTCAGTGACAAAAAGAGAGAAACAAATATGCATCAAATGAATATGTGCACGGTTGCTGAAACTTGTTGTAACTGAAACAGACAGAACTTTCTGGTAGACCCAATAATAGATCATATATAGAAGAAAATTCAGTTACTAGATCATATACAGAGAGAAAACATTAGTAGTGGAAGCTTCGACTGCAGAAAAATAATGAAAAGGAAGAGTGGGAAAGTAAGTGATGGTGATGAGAAATAATATTGTAACCAGTGCTCAAATACTTGACACTATTCTGACACATCAAGCTACAGATAAAAAAACCATACAAATGTACATTAAAAACTGATTATTTTTGGCTGTCTCCATCCAGTGGGCAATTTAAGAGCCTTTTTTCTATACAAAGCATAGGTTTGGCAAGGCCCACAACAGACATACAGTTGACCCCCCTATAACGTGGGTTCCTATAATGGAGATTCCTATAACGTGGCAAAAAAATTGCAACAGTATTCGTATAAAGACGCTAAAGGGGACTCGTAAAATGTCGTCGCCGACTCGTGTCGCGACAGGATTGGTTGAATCTGGACCAATAGTAGACGAGCAGCCGAACTACTTACACACTACAGAGAGTTTAGGCGAGTAAGTTGAGTTTACTATCGTCTGTACAGTATTATATATAAATTAGGTACTGTATATATAATTATATATTAACTTAATTTATTTTAACTTTATTATAATTCTATATATACTTTCTGCCGTCAGCACCACACTACGGAGAGGTTAGGTGAGCAAGTTGAGTTTACTATCGTCTGTACAGTATGTAAATTAGCTACCGTAAGTCTAATACAGTACTGTAATTTTATACATTTCTTGTGAAAGAAACATTTCTTATTCAACGGCCATAAAAATTATTTATATTAATGTCGTCTCCAAAGGTCAACAAATTTTTCGCAGAAAAATAACTTATCAGAAATCGCGGCTGCCGTTCGGTGCGCTGCTCTGCGACTAAAACAAGCTTAAGCAATGGCGACGTCGAACGATGCACACTCGGTAAGTAATCCTACAATTTTTCGTTTATAGCATAGTTTATACGGATTATTCCCAAAAAATTATACATAATTTGGAAATGTTGAGTCAAATTAGTCTACAATCAATTAATTTTATGGAAGAAAACCTTTCAAACAACCGTAATCCGTACACTTCACACGTGTCGGGCTACGATTGGCTCATGTATTTAAGGATTCCTACAATGTGAAATTCGTATAACGTGGAACGTATCTACGCGTTATAGGGGGGTCTACTGTAACAGAGTGGCGAAGGGACCAACATATCCAGAACAGACAACCCATAAAATAATTACCAGATTTTTTTGACTATTTGGATTTGATCTCGGATTCCCAGGAATACATATATTTAAACGAAATGTAGTCAACGTGTGATACTAGTACTAAACAAAGTAACCAGTTAATAAATGATTTTTAAGTAAATATATTGGGTGGGACTCGCATCACAGACCACTTTTGGCAGTCGACCGTCCAAGCCAACATCTGCACGTAACTCACATGAAGCAACATAAAACCATCCCATTCTCGACAACACAAGAATAACCGTCTGCATCACTTGCAACAATGGAAAAAATTATCACGCAACACCCCTTCCGGTAGTCGACCGAGTAGCCAGACATCACCGGGTCTTTAGAAGATAACTAGGACTCCACATTTCAGGTGACCATTTTCTACAAAATGCCCATCGTCGAGTTCGCTCGTCCTTTCACGGTCACCACATCCGCCAGACTCTCGACAGAAAAAAACCCAGTCGTTGCCGACTGCCACAAACGATCGTGTAACCTGCCAGTTGAACAGTCAATTAAATTATTTGTTTTGTAACGTAAACATAGGTGTAATAAAAAAAAATTTTTCCCACAAAGTATAGAACAGACTTTATTTTCACATACAAATTTTGCTTTTCGCATTACTACACATAATAATAAAAAATATTAAAGTCCAAAACAGCTTTAAACGGTCGACTACCAATGCCATTACCTAAATCAAGACAATTTTAACGATGAATTATTCATTCAAACCACGATATATTTGTAAAAAGGTTTAAAAAGAGTAATTTCTGGGTATAAATTCAGCTCTGAATGAAGCAATTGTACCTTATCACAGCTGTAGTCGAGGGGGGGTTAAAATTAAGGGGGTAAGCTTCATTCAGGACAGGAATTTTACATTTGTTGTACTTCAGTGTAGGTATAGCAACAATTAAATGAAAGTAAATAATGTAATTTCGACGTCATTACGCGTATTTAGACTCGAATTACGGAATTATGAATGGTATAAATATAAATTAAAATAATTTTTCTCTGGAAATTAACACAATTTCGAATTTTAGGCTTAATAATCTTCAGTAAATACATTTACCGAGCCTTTAGGATGTCTTCTAACTTCACAAATGCATTTATTTCGTGAAGGTAAAGGTCTTCGCTCACTTATTCATTCATTTAATCGACAATTAATAAACTTTTCTGTTAAAACATCGATCGGAAACGGCGGCATTAAATAAAACTGATCAACTGAAAGAACACCGGAAACCAAACGACGTCTGCTGACTTTTTGCATAAAGCGCCTCGCTTCATATATTTTTATAAACATTTCTTTTACTTCAAATATTTAATTTTTATAGATTTTTATAATGACTTTTAATGTTTTAAAATAATTTTATGTTTAGTAATAAAACACTATTTTTTTATCTCCCTAAATTTATAATTTAATTTTTCATCTTCCATTCCAATATGTTTACTTCGCTTTCTGTTTGAAAACTTATTCAAAATGTTATAACTAATTTATTTAATATTTTAAAACGATTTATTAGAATCAAATTAATAAAAATATCACTTTTGGGTGAAATTTAAAGCTTTTAAAAATGTTTAATTTTTCCAGGGTGCGCTATTGGTATTTTCCCAAACCCACGTGGTTATAACGTGGTTTCAAACTTCTGTGTAGGATGGTTTCTATTATAAACAGTGCCGAGATTCGTGTAAGTTCTGTTTTGAATAGAAACGTCAAACAGTTCGGTAAAGCTCACATGTTAGATGGACAGGAAGATACCTGCTGGAATTCCGATCAAGGTTCTCCTCAATGGATATATCTGAAGTTTTCTAAATGTGTCGTCGTCCGTGAAATTCATTTACAATTCCAAGGCGGTTTCGTCGGGAAAGATTGTTATATAGAAACTGGAGAAAGTACTAAATATTCATTTTATCCTGAAGATAATAATAGACTTCAAGTATTTAAATTTAATGGAGTCAATTTAACAGACACGTTGAAGATAATGTTTGAGTCCAGTACAGATTTTTTTGGTCGTATCACAGTTTATAAATTAGATGTGATTAGTGATGATGATAATGAATAATTTAAGAACTTAAAACAGTGAAGGTATATATCAAAATTTTTATTCATTATTAATATATTTTTGAGAAGATGGTTATTTGACAGTAATGTACGAATAGTGATGACGTACTGTACATATCTACTATGGCCAAAAAAGGGTAAAATTTGCAGATGTGAATGATGATGTAGGAACCTCCACAGAGCAGTAGAGCATGCTGTGGGAGCAAAAAAGCCAACAAACCATACTTCTAAATGTGACCCTTTGTGAGATATAGCCCCCAAAATCAGCCTAAAGCCTACTTCCGGGCACTATGGCAGTGGTTTCGAAAGTGGACACTACCCCCTTTGTTGGCAGGGAGTAAATCTTGGAGGGCAAAAAGAAGCAGGGGCACTGGAGGCAGGCAAGTACGGAACAGTGATCATATGCAAAGATTGGGATCATTGATAATCTTTCTCTTTTCTCTGTTAAAACAGGTAAGAAGAAATATCACATTTAATGCTTTCCAGATGTTGAGAACAATGTACTGTAAGGATACAGTGTCAGGTTCATAGAAAAGTTTTCCTAATACCCCGTTCACACACAATCCGCGACTCACTTCGATTTCGATTTACCCACAATCTGGATTGTGACTGTCGCCAGTGGAAAGTTGTGCTGTTCGCACAGGTAACTCGCTTGAGAAGAACCCGGCTATTACACGCAATGATAAAATTGACATAACTACGTGGTAAGTCCGAACACCAACAAACAAAATGAAAGTTTTGGTTAGAAATAAATACTTTTTCTTGCCGTGTATCTAATAATAGGCAAATGTCATCGTCTATCCAGATGTCTTTTTTATTTTTCTGTCGATAGCCGGACACGTGTTCAGCAGCCATCTTGTATTTTTTCGCGCGCGTGGGATTGTGGGATCTCTCTTATGACTGAATCTAGTTTCAAGAACTCTCTCCAGTCGATCGCGATTGAACCTCGTTTCAGTCGAGATTGAAACGGTCGAGAGCGTTTGCACCACGGAACTCTCTCCGACTTAAGCCACAATCTAGATCGAAATGCTCGGTGTGAACGGGGTATAAGAATATTTCCAAAGCTTTTCTGAAACACAGGAAAATGTGTTAGGACAGGGATGGGCAACCTGCGGCCCACATCGCATAAAATATGAATAAATATATTAATTTCCCAGTTTAAGGAAGTAGCAGCAAAAATTCGAATGTTATTTTCTACAACTTATGTATGTGAATAGTTTTTCCGCAATGAATTTAGTAAAAATTAAAACAAAACCAGTTAACAGACACATCGAAACTAATTTAAAACTAGCAGTGACTAATATTTAATCAAATATTTTCAATATATTACATTTACATCGGTTCCAGAAGCTAAATTAAGTATATCCATGCTAATTTATAATTATATATGAATAAATAATTGTGATTTATCGACATTTTTTTCCTTTTTTCTCTTGTATGTGGCCCATGACAATTCAAAAGTCTTGAAATTCAGCCCTTACATAGAAAAAGGTTGCCCATCCGTGAGTTAGGAGGCATTGAGTGTAACTTTATGAAACAAAGGGATTGGTGGCTCAAAGAATTTTGGGAATAACCACTATAGGGAGTTATGCTGTGTGCTCTGCTAAGCCTATAGCATGTTTAACAAACACTAAAGCACTGTGATCAGACATTCTAACAATATTTATCAGTAAAGAATAAAGAAAAGTTCAACATGCAATCCTTTGCAAAATATTCGCCACCAAATTTGGAACCTAATGGTAGCAGTTCCAGTTGCCGTCTTGCTTGCAGATGTCATGCTTGCAAGCAAGTTATGTTATAAGAACAGTGATTGGTGCCTATAACAAATGATAAATGTATTAACTTCTATTGACCAAAAACAGTTTTTATCTCAAACCTGCCTATTCTCCATGCTCCACATTGGTGAAGGTGAGCTATTGCTCTCCTTGACCAATGTGGAGCATGTAGTTGTATACTTTGATGCTTGATGTTGCTCACACCTTATCACCCACATGGGGCAAATCCCATACCCCCTAAAATTATATAACATCAAACACTCCACAAACAGTCAAGTGGGCAACTTGAAACTGGCATAATCACATGGGCTAAATACTTAATGCAATAGTCTTAGTGGAGCATGATTTTGGGGGCTATATCTTGCAAAGGGTCACATTTAAAGATGGGTTTTTTTTGACTCTTTTGCTCCTATGGTCATCCTTTAGCTCTGTTAGAGTCCCAACAGTGTCATACACATCTGCAATTGTACCCAAAAGAGCTGAGAATTGAGACTGCTGGTGTTAGAGAATTAGCTCATTTGTTAATGGTAAAGGTTCATGCAATATACATGTTAAGGCTGTGAGAACTTTGCTGTCAACATTATGAATTCAATTTTAATTTCAAATCACTTGCTAGTGATTTGAAATTAAACTTTCAGGCTTTCAGGCTTTTCCTCTTAACCAACTGCTTTCTTTTTGGCTGGACCACTCTCTTCCTACAGCCTTGCCTAACCATTCAGAAATCCCGAACGAGATGCTTAGATCGGCCAGGAGTGACCTGCAAGCTGCATGCAGCTGTGAGGCCCTAATATTTGATCTCCAGGTTTTGGCAATGTAATTTTGTCTTTGTTTTCTACCTTGTGCCATTATGCAACCCTATTTAGGCTCATATTTGTGATGAACATTCATTACAAATTGACCAGTGAAAAGATGAGAATAAACTATACATAATTAGTTTTTATATCATTAATTAACATATATTATTTTTGAATCTAATATACTGGTGTTATGGAGTATGTTGGTAGTTGGAATGTTTAAAGCAGGAGTCACAAACAGCTCATTATGGCTTCTAATCCATCCTGTGGCTTTGGCAATTTCTTTTTTAAAAGTCAATATTTCTATCATCTTGCAGGGATTAAAACAGAAAAACTTTAAACATCTAACTGTTTATATAAGTAGTAAAGGTCTGGCAACAAAAGGGCCTTTGTTAGAGCCTTTTTTAAAATTATAGTATGTTTTGATTTACTGGATAATATTGATAATGGCCTGTGCATGATATACATCTATTTGACTGCCCTGTGCTGATTTAAAGCCTTCTCCATAAGAAAAAAAAATGCATGTGTCTTGTTGGAAGCTTATGAGTGGCCTATAGCCATAAAACATTGACTACATTCAGCAGACTCAACAGTTCTGAAGCTGTTGAGTATTTTTCTGCTGAATATCCTCTACAGCAGTGTTTTTTCAGAACATGTTTAGTGTTTTGATATCACATTTAATAGTGTATTTTATTTATGCTATGTCTTGCTAATCTTGACACTCTTCTGTAACTGCAGTTAAATATTATTCATACCTCAAAACAAAAACCTTTAAAATGCAGCCTTTTTATTCGTATTTCAAACATTTTTGGCCATTTTGAATGGTCTTCCTCTGGAACAGAAAAATCAAATCTGTAGAGAAATTGCTTTTTGTTTTGTACAAGCATGCGCACTAGATAAGAAAATTCAAATGTTTAAATGTTCCAAAAGAAAGTTCGTTATATAGAAAGTAAAAGCAGAATCATTTGATTTTTCTGTTCCTGAGGAAGACCATTCAAAATGGCCAAAAACATTTTAAATATGAATAAAAAGGCTGCATTTTAAAGGTTTTTGTTTTGAGATATGAGTTATTTAATCTTGAAGGCATAGATTTTAATCTAGGAATTCAGTTATGTCTAAGTGCTAAAATGTACTTTAAAATTATATTCTCCAAAAGAAAACTAAGAAAATGGACAAGGCTTTTTTCAAATTATGATTTACATTTGTTCTAAAAATGGTGGAATATCTGCACCGTAGTACTGTAACACCAACTTGTATCTATAAACCTTTTACCGGTGCACGTATCACCTTACCATAGTTACAAACATTTTCAAACCGTTACGGTTCTTCTTCAGGTAACGATCTCATAACAGAATGTGGTTCAAAGTTGTTACGAAATACGATCTGTAATGATGTCCCGACCAGATGACGTCGCTACGGACTTGTGCATTATGCATGGTGTGCTCCATCTTAGAGATTTATCTATTGATGGCCTGGCGTAGTGACTATCTGTAGTGATGTCATTGGGTCAGGACATCATTCTGGATCGTATTTCGTAACAACTTTGAACCGCATTCCATTAGAGGATCATTACCTGAAGAAGAACCGTAACGGTTCGAAAACGTTTGTAACTGTTGTAAAGTGTGATGATACGTGCATCGGTAAAAGGTTTATAGATACAAGTTGGTGTTACATTTGTTGTTTTCTTTACAGGAGAAGATGAGAAAGTTATTTGTAACAAGAAGAGTAGCTCAAAAAGAGGAAAAAATTTATGATTTAGAACAACTAAGCAACCAATTGATTTACAAAAATCATACAAGTTTGTTTCTATTTATACTATTTTTGTACATCTTTCATTAATAAGTATTGAGCATATGTAAACAGCAAAAATTTCAACTATCCTAAAAATTGTAGTTTTCCAAATAGCACAGTTCCTGAGTTTCTGAATAAGGCTTTAAGGAGAGCTGGAGGAACTATTGTTGCATGTGGATTGTACAAACTTCATTACAGTGACTTAAAATAAATTTCCTTTTACAAAATGCTCTTTGCTTTTTAAAATCATTACAGAATTCCAATTATCCAAGTCCTGATTAACAAAGGTTTCACATTTTCCAAGATATACTTGTGATCACACTACTTTTCTTATATAATTTGTAGAAGAAAGTTCACATCATTATCATGTATACAGAAACAACGGTAACAGAAACAAATCATTTTGTATACAAAATGATTTGTTACTGTTACCGTTGTTACTGTTAAAGGTAACAAATCATTTTGTATACAAAATGATTTGTTACCTTTTATTATTTGACTTCAATGCAAGACAGATAATTTATTTTAAAATGTGAAGAGAAATGTGTCTATAGAAATGCACATTTTTATTTTTAAAATTGTATGTATATTAACTGTTTAACAAATGATGTAAAAATTGTTGTTTCTTATATACAATTAAATTTACAGAAGTATAAAAAGAGACCTAAAAGAATATACTGTATAAATATTTTATATTCATAATTTTTAATCTGAAATGATGTGGCATTTATTTTATCCCAGTTTTTGGTTATTTGAAGTTGCATTGGCCAACATGATATTGGTTAACTTCTTTACTTTTTTCAAACACAGTTGTATTTGAAAAAAGTAAAGAAGAAAGAATAAAGCAAATCTTCAGAGAAGCAATTGCTTCTCCTGGTCCTTGCTTGTGAACACTTATTACTTTCTTTTAAAAGGTCAATTTTTTGAGGAAATATTTTCTTTGAAAAATCAAAGAAAATGTTTTCTCAAAACATTTATGAAACTAATTGCTTCTTTATGTTCTTTTTAATTAGACTTAATTATAACCAGTCACCATGGACAAATCACTGTAGGGAATTTGGATGCACAATCAACGAAAAAAAGTGTGAAAATAATCCATAGAGAAAAAGACAGTTATCTACGAAAATTCAAAGCGCATTTCGAAATTGTTAATAAAAACAAAACCATAAACCGAAATGATGGAATGGAGGTTGACAACGTGTGGGAGGAAATGGGTGGAGCTAAAGGGAAAGAAAACAAAAAGAAGGGAAAACAGTCTAAAAATGCCTTAGGGGACACAACATCAACACTGGGCAGATGTATGTCTAAACGTAAAACAGGTTAGTCAACTATTGTGTAAATATATCCAAAATTGTTGTAATTTACCATAATAACAAATGTAATAATCAAATTTACCAATGTTTAGAGATGTAAAACCTGAAGAGGGGTGCAAGTTACACAAAAATATTGCACTCGAAATGCATAGTAAATAAGTAAATAAAGAATACGAAGATAAGCTTTTGTCTGTGATTAAATGCGGTCCAGGCAAAAAATAGGCAGTTTTTTCTGTGGAATTAACCCATGAAGTTTCATCAATTTTTTGAGGAAATATTTTCTTTGAAAAATTGACCTTTTAAAAGAATATAAAGAAAACCACACCATTGATATAGTACATATCTATTACAGTGGACTTATTATTTTGTAAACAGTTATATTCGTAAACTATACATGAACTCAAATCTTTAATTTACAAGAAAAGATCTGTGGAACAAACTAACTTATGTTATCAGATATGTTTAAAAGTTAGCATTAGCTTATAAATTCAAATTATGTAACTCTAAAAACCATCGCATGAACTATTGATGTGTGATATAGCAGTTTAAATTTGTTAAATATATCACTTATGCATTCTGTCTAAAAATTCACTTCTAGACTAAATCAAGTAAATATACTCATTACATCCGATTTTGAGAAATTCACATGCACAGACAAATGAAAAATGATGAAATACTAAACCTTTATTCTTAACAGTTTCATTCTCAGTAAATTCACATAATCCAAATGCATTTTGCCTTACAATCACTGATCCACTGGTGAGGTCTGATTGTAAGGCAAAATGCATTTGTATTATGTGAATTTACTGGGAATGAAACTGTTAAGAATAAAGGTTTAGTATTTCATCATTTTTCATTTGTCTGTGCATGTGAATTTCTCAAAGTCAGACATAATGAGTATATTTACTTGTTTTAGTCTAGAAATGATTTATTTTTAGAATGTACAGATTGTATTAATATAGTTACCGATCCCATTGGCTGTAATTTTATGAATATTGTATATCACTTATGCATTTACGAGTATAGATGGATACCTTACAAGTATAAATCATACACGACTACTTTGATCCGTTTCAAAGTCACACTGAACCAAAAACTGGTGGGCTCAATAGAGATGCCACCCCATGGCTGTTTATTAGAAAAATAACAAAATACAAATGAAGGACATATAACACAAATCATTGCCATGCATATAGGTAATGACAGGAGAGAAATTTAACAAAATTAAAACTGTTTAGAACTATAAAATTTAAATTTATAACCTAAATAATGGTCACTTTTAATAGCTGAATACTTTAGCTTGTTTATTCTACAAACTTTTGTAGTTCACTTATGCTTAACCCTTAACTGGTTTCTTGGGGGCCGCGCGGCCCCCACGCGTCATATTTTTACGATTTTCTAAAAATCTAAATATTGTGTGCAGCTGCCATTTTATGTAATCTCATTACGTCGCGACTCTTAGCAAGTGCCAAATGCTCGGCCGTGTAGCACTTACAAGGGTGGAGCTACGTACCTTCTGGGGGCCGCGCAGCCCCCATGATACCAGTTACGTTGGTTTTTTGTGGAAATGTGTTTTTATGTTTTTTTTTATTTTTACAATTATTTTGCAAAGATATCTCAATCTTGCATCAAAAATTCAAAATGACTACCAAAGAATCATTTGAACTGCTAATAGATGATAATATTATACAAATTGCTAGATCAAGCCGAAATCTCCTGAAAAGAGTATGTTGTCATTTTGTGCTGGAAAAAAAGATGGTAAATATGCTACTAAGTGCAACAGTTGTTTGAAATTTATTTGCAAAGTGCATAGTACTACAAAAATACTATGTGATAACTCTCAAGACTGAACTACGTAATTGCGTTAAAATGTTCCTGAGTCTTAAAAATAGAAGTGATTATATTACCTGTGGTTTTTTAACAAATGATAGTTAGAGGCTATAAGAGATACTTTTTTATAAGATTAGTTTCTTAAGAATAAGAAAAAAAAATATCTTTGGTAAAAACTTACAATAGGGTAGATTTTTGTATTGTTAAAAAAAGCATACACCAAAAGTTGTAACAATTTTGTGATTTCTTGTAATAATAAAGTAAAGAAAATTATATAAATAAATAAAAGTTGATTATACTAAAGAAGGGTTCCATTTAGCATTTATGCACTTTTGAACTGTCACATTGTTAAACTTGCTCTCTAAAGGCAAATTTTGCTTGGGGCCGCGCAGTCCCCATGATACCAGTTACGTTTGAAAAATTTACGATACCAGTTAAGGGTTAAGATTAAGATTTGAACTCATACTTTGATTCTATATCCAGTTTAATGTGTGTTAGACTCATAAATTGTATGAAAAGTATTATAGAAAATAACATAATAATGTTTATGATCTTGATCATCTTTACAGGTTATTCATCAATCAAAACACTAAACACATTTTTTAATCAGAATACATATTCTTGATGATTAATTTTTTGATTATAGATGCTTCTAGAGATTTAGTTGAATCTAAGAAATTTACATAACTCAAAAATTTATTTATGATTCAAGTTTCTTGTAATTTGGAAATTTATTTTCAAAATTTATAAATAGAAGACAAAACACAAATTTGAAATCCTCACAATTCCTTATTTCCACACTATGAAAAAATTATATAATGGAATGAATTGTATTTTATAGGCTCATACTTAAATATGTAAAATTGGAAACAAGCAATTTTTAGACAGGGATGCGTTTATAAATGAAGTTTCACATCTCAGTATGATTGTGTTCTTTGATGTTGAAAAGGCAGATGAAAAATCTAAAATTTGTGTTTTATCTTCTGCTTAAATTTTTAAAATGGAAAATAATCTTCAAGTAAGTGAAGGTTTTATTATGTAAAATGTAAGGTATTCAGAAACCATAAATTATTGTTATCCTTCAGTAATGTTGATCATAAATGAATAAAAACTCAGAATTATCACAAGCTTTATTTATGTTACAGTGAAAGCAGATGATCATTAAATGTACAATATTAGTAGTGAATGTACACCTTCACTAAAGTAATCGGTAAATCAATACTACAGCATTCACAAGTTCTCAATTTTTGACTTGGCCCACAAAATTGATTGCTGAATGTGAAATTCCGCAGACAGAACTGTTACTTTAAGGACAATTGCATCTGCCCAATCTTGTAGTTCAGGATAAGGCTTTTGAAATGTTCTTGCACTTTGAAATTTCAGACTGTGAAATGTAAATGCAAGAAGAATGGTACTTTTTGCATTTTGTTCAATTTCTTTTCTGATTTCTGGGCAAAATAGGATGCTATACTTTGTATTTTACCTAACTGCTCATAGAGTAGAGTTCTAATCTACTTTTTGCATTTCCAAATGTCTTAGTTGTTCAACTTGTGGCAATAAATAAATCCAGCAATTAGTTGCTTAACTTTTCTAGCAACATTTAAAACTGTGTGTGATGTCATTTGTTATGATATTTTATTTTAAAAACTTTTTATACTTTTGATTATTATAAAATGGAAAAAGCTTAATTTTGAGTATGGGACTGGGTTTTATAAAAAATTGTAAATGTCAAGTATAATTGTCATTAAGTCCATCCCTACTTCAGATATGGCACATGCTGTCTTCTATCTCTCCACTCCCTTGACCTTTAACCACCAAAATTTAATAGCATCAATCCCCTAATACACAAACCTCCCTGCAAAAT